GGTGTTCTTTTCCTTCAGTGCGGGAAAACACAACAGCAAGACAAAAGACAAAAACAAATATAATTTTGGTAAGGTTTACCGATTTCAGGTTGGCTATAGTGTAAAAATATAATTTAATAATCAAAATAAGAAACTCAATCAATTGAAGAATTTAAAAAATTAAAAATGAGTTGAAGAATTTCCGACAAAAGAACGAGAATCTCAATTTTGGGTATGTTACAAATCTTTGGACCTGAATTTAAAGAACAAACATTAACTTAGTCATAATAATTACCTTCATTTTATGCGAATGATAATGAAAGTAAGCAGAGGACTTCTGGATCTTAACTTCAAGTTAGCCGCCGGGGCTGGAAGTTGGCTGCTCTTTATGCAACGAAGAGTCAAAAGAAGATATTCATATTATTTCGATTCTGGCGGAATTCAGAGTTATGTACTTCGGTAAAATTAAATTGACCAAAGATGAATATATCGATTTGATAAATAAGAAATAAATTGAAAGCCCTTTACAGCTTGCATCCCAAGTAGCCACCGCAGATTTTTATTGATGAATTTAATTATTAAATCGGACATTTTTAATTTACTTTAATGTGCTGAAGCCCGTATTTAATTTTATTGTTTTATATTTATTGGAATGGGGCCTTTCACAGTTAAAAAGTATATAATACTGTTTATTTGTTTATTGTGTTTTTCTATGTACTATTTTTGTTTTTCAGTTTTTGTAAACAGATTTTTTTGATCCATTCATTCACTCATTTGAGATTTTTTAATATTTTTTTTTTAACATACTTCAGTACAAATTTAGCTACTATATATTGCAAGAAGACCTGTCTGGACAATAGATTTGTTTTCCATATGTAATAATTCATTTTAACCTTACTTAAGAACGAAACGTTCAAAATTTAAAATATACCTCGTTATTTTTTTAAAAATAAAAAATACAATACGATCCGATAATCAAATTACCTTGTCGAGCAATTTACAAAATTTAAGATTTATCCATTTTGCGCTGATTTCCTCCAAGGGTGTTTGTACTTTTAGGAACCTTTCATTATCGAGTGTAATGTCATTAGGAAAAAGTTAGGTAAACAGAGGAAAATGAACTTTATTAATCTGGCCGTAGGCTCATCTAGCTAACTTATTGCCGGCCGGGGCCGAACTCGTTGGAAGTGCGATTTTAAGAGGAAAACTTTCAAGCTAAAGGCTAGGCTATGTATTACGCCTCCAACTTTGCAACCGTGTAAGCCATTTTGTTTTCTTTTAATAGTTTTATCAACAAAAGATATCGAAGAATCAATATTACGTTTATTTATGAAAGGGAATATTTTAAATAGATGCTAAAGACTCTGAACCCTTACATAAACATGGTTGTTAAATTAATAAAGCGAACTTAAACAGATAACAAATTTTTTATAGTATTAAATCAATAATCCTCGCTTTGAGCCTAATGAAGAAAAATTACGTAATGTTGATAAGTAAAATTTAAAAATAAACAAAACGTGCAACACTTTAATAAGTTTGTATTGCCCAAAATGTATACATTCTGCACAATCTCACCATCGAACTCATTTTCTCCCACGTAATTACTCAATTATCAATTGGCTTGTTCAATTTATCATTTAATATTCCATATACACTCACAAATTCTTTCTAGAACGTGCACTCATTCATTCACGCAGTTATTCAACTATTACCACTCATTTGCTTACACTCTCATTTAGTCACTTGTCTGATCTTACACTCACACACACAAACTTTTTTTTAGAACACGCACTCACTCATTCGTTCACTCATTCGTAGTCAATCCCTTACACGCTTATTAATTCAGTTTTCTTTTACATTCAAACAAACTCACTCAGAATCTTTTTAGAAACGCTCATTCACTCACTTAATTATAGACCCTTCTCTAACACGTTCACATTCACTTATCTCAATCCATATATGGATCATAATTGACCATATTTATTATTCCAATTAATTATTCTTATTATCTAAGGTCTTGACCAAGATAAAAAATGTAGTGCCACGAGGGTTATTCGAACTCATTCGCCAATGAAAAATGGCAAAAAGAGGGAAAATTCGAAAGTAGGTCGAAATGACGAATTGGTGTCTGAGGGTCAAAGTCACGATAGCTCAAATGGTTAGAGCAGTGGAGTATTAGCCGAAGGTCGTGGGTTCGAATCCCGCTCTTGACACTAATTTTTTCATCTCAATCAAGACTTTAGATAAAAAGAATAATTAATTGATATCATCTCAATTATTGTTTCACTTGTTCGATTTATCATTCAATCTTCCACACACATTCTCAGAAATTCTCTCTAGAAACTGCACTTACTCATTTTCTCACGCACCTGTTCACACATTCATACTCACCAAGAAACCTCCTTGAAAACACTCATTCACTCTTTTCGTACGACCCATTCACTCACATGTTCTCATCCACTTACTCAATTATTTTTTTCGATTTCCGATGTATAACTCAATCTTCCTTACACACAGAAATTCTCTCTAGAATTTGCGCTCACTCATTCAATCATTCGTACTCATTCTCTCACACTCTCACTTATTTATTCACTTGTTCTCTGTTTCACTCACACATATTTAATTGCTCAGAAATCTTCCTATATAAAAAATGTGTAAAAAACCCATGAATTTGGAACAATATAAAAAAGTGGCACTTTTTGTCAATGAGTGATTTTTGTGATGTCAAACCCTACGCTCGACGAAATATTAACTGTTGTATGACGTAACGGAGGTGAAAAAAAGAGCGTAAACATTTCACAGCGCGCATCGAATTACGTAAAATCTTGTTTACGTCGCCTGATCGTTTTAAAATGATTACGTCCCAGCTTTGTCACATTGTAAAAGACAAAGGACAAGATTCATTTGAATGCGTAACTCGCAAAGTCATCAAGTCTGCCACTTGTAACGGACAAAGCTTCTTGCATATTCTCTGTTCTTGTTTTTCTCATCCGTCTCGAATTATATAAAATAAAAAAATCACGGGGTAAAAACGTCCGCTAAGTGGGTGGGCTTCCTAGCTTCCTCACATTATGTGCATGCCGATATGTCAATCTGTTTGGAATAAAATTCATACGAGATCATATAAGAAGGAACCCGCACAATCCCTGAAAATGTCATAAGAATCCGACAAATGTTTTCGGAGATATAGCCGTGCATGCGATACCGTTGATCCGATTGGGATGAAATTCATAGGGGATCTAGAACCAAACCCGCAAAATCTCTGAACATTTCATAAAAATTGGTCTCATTTTTTCGGAGCCCGTTACAAGAAATTGACTACAGACAGACAGAAGAATACAAATTCACAACAATTTCACACACCACCGAAGTTTATATTTACATCTGTATTGTATTTTTCCATTCAACATGTTTTGTAATTCACCCAGGCGCTGAAGATGACCCGAATAAAGGTCGAAACGTCGACAACAAAATGAAAAACGTGTTTTTCTAAACTACCTCGTTCTTGACCTCGACATCGTTTTTCTTTAAAATATTTGTCGTGGTTTGAAGTTATCTTGTTTTAATCTTCTTATGAAAACATTATTAAATAAAACTCATTTTAAACATCTTAAAACATTTCTGTTTTACTTTATCAAGAAGCTTTCTTTATTATTTTTTAATTAGATACTTCAGGAAGGTTTACATTTTTGTTTTTACTTGCTTTTGAAGTTGTGATCATTTGCATTAATAAACTTAGTGACTTTGACGAGCAAAGGAAATTTCATAATCATTGAGGAAATTAATTGGCGTTCAGACCCAATTAGAAAGAAAAGAAATTGTTCAAAAACCAAAGATGAACGAGAGAATTGTCTGAGAGTTACGTTTAAAAAGTAACATATTTTATCTCAGTAATATAAAGATGCAATATTAAAAAAAAAAAAATAATAATAATTGAAATAAGCGGGCCTGTTCTGAAAAGTATTTACTTTTGGATTGAACTTTTGCATGAAAAAAGACTGGTATTAAATTCAACCGTTGCGTAGGCTTTAAATAAAGGAAATTCAAGTACGAGATCTCTTTTCTGGTAAATACAGCCGACTTCAAAGCACATTTGCAGTAGAGAATTCCTTTCTTTTTTTTTTTCTTTTGTCGGCCTTTAAAAAGAGATGAATTACACCGTAAACAGTGGGCGAAATGATACTGTTTTAAACTGATATCAAACAACAGTACTATATTAAAATAGGGGTGGGATGTTTGAGCGATTATTTATTCAAAAATTGAATAAATGGACCGATTTTTTTTAAAAGATTAATTATACAAATCCTTTCCTCCTAAATAGACCTAAATAGATCTATTGTGGAACTTCTATAAATTATAGCCCTACATTGCCAAAGATAAAGCTAAGAACTTTCCTTGGTGCTTCTTTGCGCAACTCTTTTGATGTGAGAATTGCCTTGTAACCGGAATTGTGCTTCGCAATCACAAAGGATTTATGTCTCCTGTCTTTCCAAGGCAATGGATATAGAGGCTTATAAGTTTTATCAAATACCGCCTGCTGAGAGCGAAAGAGGACTTTCTTCCCCTTCCTTTTTGACATATTTAGACATCTCTTGGCTGGTTGTTTGTCCAGTGTTTGAGTTTTTCTTTCGCAAGCCATTTTTCCAGTTTCAACTTAAGCACACATCCGGTGCAGTCAGTATCTACATGTGTGAGGGTTGGTTTTTTTTTTCTGGTTGGTCGGCCTGTTAATTTCTTACCACCCACGATTACTCTGGATCCGGGTAGGTTTACAGATTGACATAATTAATTTTTGCACGACCATTTCAAAGGCCAAGGACTGTAACGAATTTCCTTCTATGCCTCCATGTCCGGGATTAACTTTAATTTAATCTTGTAAATATTTCCCCAGAGTCAATCGGCGATTTAAGCACTCGACAAGTTTGGAGTTAAAAAATATACGAATTTATTTCCTTTTTGGCTACCATATTTTGAAACTTGGCCCATGGGCTGAATTTAACCAGTTATTTATTTTGTTTCAGAATTCAAAAGTACACCATGGTACGACGAGGGCGATTTCATGTGGAGAAACAAAGGTGAGCTTTGTGATATTTTTCTATGAAGAAAGCATTTTTAAATTTAGTTATTATTAATTTTTAAGGGCGTTTTAACGGCTAAGGTCATTTCACACCCAAACATCCAAACCTTCTATCTTAGGTTAGCTATATCTCTTCTGAGTGCTATAAAGCTCTGACTCAAAACATTCACTCGTCATCAAATTTATCCTATTGCCATCCAAGCTTTAATTTTTCTTTTTAAAATTCTTAATTCGGACGGCCAAATGTATACAAAATTCCCATTTTAAATTGCATAAAATTTAATAAAATTATAAAACTTATTTCTGTTTCTTTTTTTAATTAGAATTGTGAATTTTTGTTCCATAATTTAAAAATTCCCCGTAGGCTTGAATGGCTAATAATAATAATGGAGTCAGACTAGCAACAGTCTCAGCATGAGTATAAGCTCATCCTTATCCTTTTATTCTTCCATTCAAATATGATAACTAATTCTACATAACAATAATAAGAAATAAAACACAATAACATTTCTTTTTCTTTTGAGGGAGCTATTTTTCTTATTTAAATTGCGATTTTGGGCATTGCAGTTTATTCCCCCGCAATTTGTATTTTCCTCCATTTCATTTTTCCGCTCCGGCAGCCTCAAAAACTTCTGAAATCTTGTACGCACAACTTTTATTCAAACATTAGAAGGCATTCAATGGTATAACAATTTGGGAAAAGGCCTAAATCTCATTATAAATTCCAATAAATTTGAGAAAGCTGAAAAGTGCTCTTCGAAAGAAACACTGGGGACCCAGTAACTCCTGTAAATCACTCGAAAGGTTGAGCCTTTGCCTAAAGGGTTGTAAAGTGGGACAGTCGACCAAAATATGTTTTACTGTCAAAATGGTGCGTTCTCCACTTCGCGTACATCGAGGACAAGTTGGAAGGTTGTTGCCTATTAAAAGCCTATTATGGATTAGCCTGATATGACCTATTCGCAATCTAGTGAGAATCACAAGTTCTTTTCTCTCAAGTTCCTCAGTTGGCCACTTATGTACAACTGGCTTAATTTCTTTCATACTATCTCTACAGACATTCCATCTTGCCGCCCACTTTCGTTTGATAATGTTTTTAACATAACCGACTATATCATCTGGACGGAGAGGAAATTGATCTGTTCTTTGTGGATGGTTTGCAGCGTTTCTTGCCTGTTGATCAGCTTTTTCATTTCCAGAAATGCCGACATGACTAGGAACCCAAACAAATATCACATGTTTGTTGAGTGTTCTGATTTCATAGAGATATTTGTGAATTTCTAAGATGTAAGGGTCAACCGAGAAATTATTTTTGATTGCTTCGAGACTACTTTTCGAATCAGAGCAAATAATGGCATTACAAATTCCAGGCGATTCCTTTATAATGCTCAATGATCTTCTGATTGCATGAAGTTCAGCTGTGTATACGCTAGCCTCATTCGATAGAGACCAGCTGAAGTTATACTCATCAGCAAATATCCCACACCCTACACCAATTTCATTTTTAGACCCATCGGTATAAAAAACTTTATAATTGGGCTAGTTATTTAAAATTCGCAAGAATTTCCCTTGATCATCAGAGAAGGTGTTTCTCTTTTGTTCAACAAGGCCAGATCTTCGATAATTGTGACAGTAGGTAACGCCCACGGTGGGATATCTAGCAATTTAAAACCCTCAACCGCCGGCAAGGAATTAAATTTAGTTTTTAGTATTATTATATTTATTTTATCTCAGAGGAGTCCCTACTGAGGAAAATATTCTTTACGAATGCCTATGCTTATTGAGTAAACATGCGACTCCAACATTGAAAAGCTTCAGGTGATTCAAAATAAATCCCTCTGCTTTGCTTTCCAGCTTACATGGCTTAAGCTCGTGGCCAGGATTAGCGAGCTAATACAAAAGGAATTTCCAGATCGAACTGGTTCCACATAACGGATTATTTTTTTAATTAATTAATTAACTTTTTGTTTTGTTTTCGGCAGTCCCCCGCCGCCGCAGGCACCCGCCTCAGCGACTCTGCCCAGCCTGTTTCTTTTTTATTTTATACGAGCGTTTTAGTAAGATGTGCATAATAACCAAGTATAACTTTATGGCAAAGTCCATATTCACTTACTGCTCTGGGAAAAATTACACCCAGCCCAAACGACCAAATTTGTATGTTGGTTGGGAGGGGGATTTTGAGGTTGTCAAAAAGTTAGTTTCTACCCAGAGAAGAGAGCGTGCTAGTCTGATTCGGCTCTACCCATCACACTCGCAACATTTATCGTACCTCAACCCTAAATAAATACGGGGGAGCCGATTTGGGTTAAAATGCTTTTGGATCTATAGATCTTTGTAAACCACAAGGGTTGGATGGAAGGTTGAATACTGGCATAGTATTTACCTCTGGAATATTTTAAACGTCCGCACTCGTTTTGCCAATATTTTCTTATAACAGCTGAATTATGGGCACGAATGTCTGGTGACGATAGTTACTGTGTGTCTTGCCCTTTAAGTTCTGCTTGTTTTTGGCCAACAGATCAACCTCGTTATTGAATCATGCGCTTTAACCAGCATTATTTGTTGATGAGGCTAAGTCTCTTAGCAATTGTTTTATTTAGAGAACAATAGGGTCGGGAGGAAAGTTAGGGCTCTGAAAAGCCATTAACACGCTAAGACATTCATTAGAATTGCTTGCTATACCGGATTATTAATCGTGTTTTGTTTGAGTCTATCTCACTAGTCAGTTTATGCTACGTAAAATTTTTTAGAAGGTGCCAAATTTTATCCACTCTTTCATTAAGAACTTGTAATCTCTGCTTTAGATATTTATGATTAAAAATATAAATTATATTTTCTTCGATGTTTACAAAAAGGAGATTAATAGGATTGTGAACTTAAAATTAAATTAAAACTCGCCGTATTTCACCCTCCTATAAAAGATTTTCGGTCAACAACCCCTAAAAGGGGGAGGGTTTAATATTGAGTTTAACCTTTCAAAAGTTTAAAAGCTAAAAAAACAATTAATTAAAGGAAGCAGAAATAACATTCTCCTATAGTCTTAGGCTTTCTTTATATTAGAAAAGATTTAGATTTATATTGATATAATAATCTTTTTATGTAAGGTCTTGGTTGAAATGAAAAAGTTAGTGTCATGAGAGGGATTCGAACCCACGACCTTCGGCTCAATACGCCATTGCTCTAACCACTTGAGCTACCGTACTTCTAGACGTCACGATAGCTCAAGTCGTTAGAGCAACGGCGTATTGAGCCGACGTTCCTGGGTCCGAATCCTGCTCGTGGCACTAACTTTCTTCAACCAAGACCTTACGTAAAAAGATTAATTAATTGAAAGAAGTAATTTGGTCAATCAGACCACTAAATATAATGGATTTAATGAGATAATAATGTTCAATAACCTCAACTTACTAGTTTTCCGTAAATAATACGGTTTTCTCTCTAAAAAGAAACGAGAAAAATGAAACAATCGTCATTTCTGTAATTAAAGAATAACGAAAAAAGCACAAAGCCCCTAAGAAAATCTGATTGAAAGGTTATAATCAAAGCCTTTTCCTTCTTCTTTTTTTCTGAATCGCAATATTCACACCTAAGAATCGGTTCAGTGGATACTTTATTGACAGAAGACTGCAATATTACAAAACAATAAAGGATATTATTATTCACTAATAGTTGGAGTTGCCTTTAAATTGCATACAGGACTTTGATGAAAATTAAAAACATGAGTGGTCCAAAGTGATGCATGACAAAAAAACAGAAGGTTGCACAAATCATTCTCGACAATCTATTTCTAAACTTTGCCTTGAGATTTCTATTGGAAAGATAGGGCCGAATCCAAGGCAAAATTTGTCTCCAAGCTTATCAAAAATTCGGTGGAAAAAATGGTCAATCGTATCAAAACATAAAGAAAATGTTTTTCTGAAACCTACATCACACCAGACCGCATCTCACGATTTCTAAATTTTAAAAAAATACATAAAAGATTTACCAACATGACAAAAATTATTTACTTATAAATGATTATGTTAGATGTCCAATTCAGTCAAAAACCCGCGCTGCTAACCTATTAGGAAGGCACAGAGATTTTCTTGACCTGATCAATAATATCAGACTTCAGAATTGGTCCGATCACCTTTCTTAAAAATTTGAAAATCTAAAAATTGAATTCAGCATCGAAAAAACCTTCCCAAATGTACATCGCTGATTATATTACTATTTTAAATAGATCCAGATATCCTCGAGGGTTAGAGCAATATTTTTTGACTCATGAGAGACTAGAAAAAAATAAAATTTATATGTTTCCAAAAACGTTAAAATCACGCTGTCTATCAATGTACATATATAAACACGAATAAAAATTTCTTCGCTTCAATGTCATTCCTGCATTTTTAGATAGTTGTTAACAGTCAGGGTCGATAACACGAATATTTTCAGTTCGTGCCTTGATGACATATTTGTAAATGGGTTGTGTCATCAAGAAGTAGGGTGGTCCCCCCCCCCCCGAGGTCTTCCCCTCATCGCGATGGAATCGTCTTCGTCAACACCTATTCATTCGGCTCAACGGTGTTTTTATATAGTTTCTCTGGGAGGAACAAAGAAAAATGATCGGCTGAAGCCGTCTCCAGGACGACGTGACGTCAACCGTGAAAAGGAGTAGAGATTTCACCCCGAAATAAAATTTTATCACCCAATTTATATTAATTTGCCAACTGGTTTTCTCCATTCTTTGAAAAAGATGATTTTATTATGTGATAATTTTTACTACAATGCGGTTTGAGGAACCTTCTAAAGCACAGCAGTTTATATGTAATTGAAATAATCATTATTATAAAGTATTAATCCATTTATGTTTAGTGGTCTAATTGACCATATTAATTATTTCAATTAATTATTATTTTTATGTAAGGTCTTCGTTGAGATGAAAAAGTTAGCGTCAAGAGCGGGATTCGAACCCACCTAGCCGAAGTTCGTGGGTTCAAATCCAGCTCTTGACGCTAACTT